TTTTGGTCAAGTTGATTGTGTTCCCTGTCTCACTGCTTACATACCATCCCATTTATCTAAACCACAATAATGCTCTGTTCCCAAATATATTATTGTACAAAGACTTAATAATAAACTGTGTTTGAGTAGAATAGTAATATTCACTGCCCACCGTTATTTATTCTTTTTCTTATATTTTATTATGTTTATATGAGTGAAGAATGGGTGAGGCATATGTTAGTGAGTAGTGTAGAGTTAATGAGTGTGTCGTGGTGGTCACCACTGACCTGTCATTACCTACCTACCTCCGCTAATCATCTCACTCCTACCACCTCGCCTGCCTCTCCCCTGCCTACATAATCCCTTACTCCCATATTCCCCACTTATATCCTATTCAATCATTTCCCCCTACATGACACATTTACCGATATTAACTATCCAATAAAGTCAGAAATTGGCAATTTTGCCAATTTCACACAAATTTCAAAAGATGCCAATTTCCAAATAGGGTCCAGAATAAACAAGAGACATTCCTAGCACTAAAATAACATTTCTTCTGTTCATCAGTCATGTCCCCAGGCCCCTCTTACATTTCTTTTGCTTTCCACTTTGAATTTTTCTCACAAAAAAACAAGATTTGCTGTTATGCAGACTATTGCATTAGTGTAGAAATGATATAACTAATATCAGCGCACTTGTGAAAGAATATTAGACTCGCCAGTTGACGTGTATTGGACGCATGGCATGATTTGTTTACTTTTGAACTTTGGCAAAAATCGAACATTTCTGCTACTTTGAGCTCAATTTCAAGGTACTTTTCATTGTGAAAGCAATGAAAATTATCTCAATTTCTGTAATGTCTTCCATTCTATAAAATAAGACCAGGAAAACTAGAATACAACGATACCATACGAAAATACAGTGCAAAGTCGCTGTTTTCAATCAAAAACACGGTCAAAGTTTTTTTTTTTCCTCATTACGCACTGTGTGCTGCAGGATTTTTTTGTACTGTGCACACTGACCACAGACTCATTCTTTCATATGTAGGCCTACCAGCTTTCTCTCGCTAGATTTGAAGGCGCTAGAATTAAGGTGTACTAGTACGTCAGTAACTCTGGTGCATAAGCCATACTAGTACGTCGGAAACCCTGAAAGGGTTAAAGTGATCCTCTCTTTAATATTCATGTAAATAACTCGGTTTAACTCATGAAATCGTAATGACACAATTGCAAACAAACCATACCACGGGTGGGGATAGAACCCACGATCAGAGAATTATAAAACTCCAGACCGATGTGCTAGCCACTGGGCCAGTTGGACGAATCTTGTTGTAGCCAGCTGGTCCAGTGGCTAGCACATCAGTCTGGAGCTTTATGACTGATCGCAGGTTCTATCCCTGTCTGTGGCAATGGTTTGTTTAACTCGGTTTACTTTATTATTGTATCCCCTTTTGCTGTAACTGACTGTCACACAGTCGAGTTACTTAGCCGTTTTAACTTTTAAGGTTATAATCATGACTGATTTCTACTGTAACTTAATGCAAAGTTTTAAATAATAAGACATTATGAGGACCCCAATGGAAACAAGTCACAATTTTTGGGGTTACCCTAGGTAATTTACACCAATGTTACTATGTACGATAACTGTACTTATGTGCACCTGTACCAAACTAAACTTACTTATATGGCTTGGAATTGCCAGAATGATGAATTATTTATTCCAAATTTATTACCATTTCACAACACTAACAATGAACAGAGCCAAACAGCACACTGCAGATTTAAACTAGGGTAACCCAAATAGAGCCAAACACTAACATTTCCATGTTTTGATTAATATTACTTCTTTAAACAATTGTAATACGTACTAGATTTCCTTTTAAATACACTTTCAAAAGTCTAAGGCACATAGGTGTTATGGACACAAATTACATTATATTCATAAAAGCCAGGATGCCTCTAACCTAAATAATTAACCTAGAATAACCCAGTAAAGTTAATGCGACATTTCCATGTTTTGAAGAGTATTACACCTTGAAACAATCGTAATATTATAAGTATTCCTTGTACATCATGTTTTTAGACCAAAGCAGTAAAAAACAAATAGAAAAAAATATTTGAATCAACTGAGTAGAATAATGCCAGGCTAAGCCTTTTCCCATGTCTGAAGTACTAAAACATCTAATATCAAACTACAGTACATGTTAACCCTTGAACTGTCCAAACGTAGATGTACGTTTTTTCGACATTTGAAAGTACGTATGTAAAAAAAGTAATTTTTTTTTACATCTGAAAACGTGTAAAATAAAACTTTGATCTACTTTTTTTTTTGTTATATTTGAAAATATGTAAAAAAACGTAGATCTACTTTTAGAGCATTACACATGTGAACGTAAATTTGTTTGGACAGTTTAAGGGTTAAACATTAAAAAAAAAAAAAAAACTAAAACCAATCATAATTTGGCATCAATAAATTGTAAAATATAATATAGTTGTCAACGATTGTGCATATTTTCCACTAATTTTACAAAGGCTTAAGTTCCTATCAGATTCCACTCTTTTTAGTCTTGCATCATTAAAATGCATTTTTTTTCTCTCAAAAATTTGCACACACAAAATGTAATTTCAGGGTATGCCATAGTTAATGGGTTAATATTGATAGAAGACAATGATACTGACACTTTAGAACATCTTTTAACCCTTAACCCTTTCAGGGTCCGTCCCGTAGATCTACGGCTTTACGTTCAGGGTCCAAACCGTAGATCTACGCCATGAGCTCAGCTCACTGATAAACTGTGAGTGGTACATTTGGGCCTAGATATGAGAGAATACACCTATGTGGTATGTGTGCACCACATAAAACAGATCCTGCAGCACACTGTGTATAATGAGAGAAAAAAAATGAAATCATGATTTTTCGATTAAAACAGCAACTTTGCAGTGTTTTTTCGTATGTTTTTTATAGTTGTATTTGCGATTTCTTGGTCTCATTTGATAGAATGGAAGACATATTACAGAAATAGAGATGATTTTGATTGGTTTTAGCACTGGAAATGGCTTGAAACTGAGCTCAAAGTAGCAGAAATGTTAAATTTTTGCCGATATTCAAGAGTAAACAAACGACCTCACACGTCTAATACACGCCAGCTGGTGGGTCTAATATACATTCACAAATATGGTGATGATATTTATACAATTATTACAGTATTGCATAACAGTAAATCTTCTATTTTTTGGTGTGAATAAAAATTCATTATGTGAATAAAAAATCAAAATGGAATTTATTTGTAAAGCCTCAAAACATAACTAATGAACAGAAGAAATGTTAGTTTAGTGCCAGGAATGCCTACATTGTTCATTCTGGACCCTATTTTGAAATTGGAATATTTTGAACTTTGTGTTAAATTGGCCAAATTAACAATTTCCGATCACTTTATTTTGTAGTTGAAACAGTTGACTTGGCGATTTCTTGTGCTCAATCGATAGAATAGAAGTAATACTAGTGAAATGGCTAAGAATTTGGTTGATTGGAATAATGTAATTGGCCTAAAATGGGAGTCAAAGTCGGCAAAATCGCCGATTCGTAAATATCGCTGACACATCAAAATTCGCGACAGCATAATTTCGTCAATTTTCCACCAAATTTCGTACTTTTTGTTTTATTACCTTCACAAAAAGATTCTCTACGATTTCATAAGAAAAAATAACAAATTTTTTTTTTTTAAATTCTTGGACACTGGTGCGTGACTCCAGATTTGGGCCTTGGACCCTGAAATGGTTAAACTGTCCAAACGTAGATCTACGTTTTTTTCAACATTTGAAAGTATGTAAAAAAAAGTAGATGTTCTTTTCTTTTTTTACATTTGAAAACGTGTAAAAAAAAACTTCGATTGTTTTTTTTTTATATTTGAAAATAAGTAAAAAAAAAAAAAAGGGAAAACTACTTTTGCAGCACTATGCATGTGAACATAGATCTGCTTGGACAGTTTAAGGGTTAAAGGTAAAGTCTGTTCTGGGATCTTCATCTCTCCAAATGATTCAAGAAAGCACAGTACAGTAGAATGTGTCACATGTGATGGTCAGGTGAAGGAAGGCCATTAGAATGCCATGTCCAGTAGCAGTTGAATATAGTGGCGAGTTGAATAAAACTGACGGATTTGAAAAAAAAGGTTATTTTGATGTCAACGAGAATAATAATGCAGAATGTCATTTTTGGAGTTAAATTTATGACAATACAGCACTAACTAATTTGCTAAGATAAGATTTTGTTTGGATTTTTAATCCCAAAGGGTTAGCCACCTAGGATAACCCAAGAAAGGCAGTGCATCATCAAGGGACTGTCACAACTATTTATATCAGAACACTAACACTTCTACCCATACACCTTGTACTCTCATTGTAAGTATTAACCTAATACATTTGTAACAAGCTATTTGAACCACCACAAAAAAAAAATCTTAGTCGCTCGCTTATGAGACAGCAGTTGTAATATTTATACATATCCACTGCAGAATGTATCCATCCCAGGGAAACACTAAACCCACAGGAGTCAGGCAGCAGTATAATTGTAATATTCATCCACACCTAGGATAATGTTATTCACATGCATGACAGTTGCTGTTTTAAGTTTGAGGCTCAGGTACACAAAGTACAATAATCATACATAGTAACATTGGTAAATTACCCAGGATAATCCCCCAGAGTGACTTATTTCCATTTGGGTCCTCGAGTTGTAATGCATATTCATGGTAATTTACACATGTTACTGGGCATGATAATTGTATCTCTGTACCTGTACGTAAATAAACTTACTGTATGTGGTTAGAATTTATACCTAATGATAAAAAATAGAAAGCCCGCTAAAGTGGCATGTAAAAGGTAGCACAAACAGTAGTTATAAGCACTGCATATGAAACATCATTAATAATTACACCCGAAAAATAAATGAAGCATTGCTATTTATCCAATGAAAAGTAAAGTTTGAGTATGATAAGATAAGAGAGCGTGGCCGGGGAGGCCTACCTTGGCTGCTATGTCTTCCATGGTGATGGTAACACTGCTAGGCGGGGCCGGGAGCTAGAGCACAAGGTGGCGCGGGAGGAGGAGTGTGTAGCGTGGTGGTGAGTGTAGTGAGGATGGCAGTAGTGTGAGGAGCAGCAGCAGCAACAGCAGCAGCAGCAAGGTGAGCCTCGTGTGGCCGCCAGGGAACTCTCCAGAACCACAACAACAACAACATTCAGAGACCACATGAACAAAACTCAAAATATATTTTCTTTAAAAAATATCTTCTCCCTCATTCCCCTCTGCTTCTTTGTTATCTACCATTATCTCAAAATTTACCTACTTGGTCCAGCTATTATTCTATTTCAATAAGTCTAATACTTGACGGTACAAGTGGATTAAATTTTTAAGAATCTTCTGGAAATATGCAATAGTTTTGACTTTACTGAGTTTTCCCAGGTCAAATTCCACATAAATTTTATAAAAAACATTGTAAAAGTTTAAGAGGTAGGGAAAAAAGCTTACCTACTTCTTAACAAGGGAATGTGTTTATAAGATTTTGAATATTAATTGTTTGATGCCTCACGTATAACCATAAAGTTATACAAAGGCTTTATATAGTGAATTATGTATATGTGAATGTATAACAACGCCGTCAAGTGCAAAAATGCGAGTTATAACGATAACAGTTGATTAAACTTGACAGTCTGGCATGTTCTTGATGGTGCGGGTCCCTGGCCCCGCCTTCTTAAGTTAACCTCACTAAATTTATTTAATCATATTAATACTATTATGGGGGGAGCGCTAACCCGTAGGGATTATACAGCGCCTGTGGGAGGAGGGAGGAGAAATGGGAGGCATTCAGGCTCAATTGGGGGAATTGGAGGACATCCAATTCCCTAGATCAAGAGCCCCTCACCAGCATCAAGAAACCTCCCTTGATGGGTTATCTAGGTACAGGTACACATAAATGTAGTTACACAAAAGTTCATACATAGTAACATGTGTATATTACCTTGGATAACAAAAAAGTCAGTGACATGTTTCCACTGGGGTCCTTGAAATTTGGACTGGGTCCCAATTGACCATTTTTCTCTTTATCATCATCTTACTGACTTGATATTTTTATTATTATATTACAAAACATTAAGTTAAACCCGCATTAGTCATAGTGCACAATGACTGGACAATTATCAAATAACCTCCATCGGAAACAGGAAAAAAATCAATTACTTCCAAATTTATAAATTTACTTGTAATAAAGATTTAAATAATACGTTTGTATGAAATATATAATAGTCATTAAAAAAGGCACTTAAGGAATAAATTTCTTATTACAGTACTACAGAAAAAGAAATGGTTTAAGATAAAATTTAAGTTGTAGTGAGGAGAATCTAAAAAAAATGATTCGTAGTAGAAATATATTTGTAGAATGATTTTGAGGACACATAGGTGTTTTAGACAGACAAATGCCTTTATGTAAATTTAAATTTAACATAATAATAATAATAATAATCTTTATTTCTACAAGTACATATACAAGGTATACAGACCATAGCTGACATCAATGATATATACTACTATATAGAAAGCCGCTCGTTATGCTGAGCATTTCGGGCAAATTAGGTCAGTTTTGTCCCAGGATGCAGCCCACACCAATCCATTAACACCAAGGTACCCTTTTTGCTGATGGGTGAACACGGACAACAGGTGTCTTATGGAAACACGTCCCTAATATTTTCCAGCCGTACCGGAAGCGATTCGAACTGCGGACCTGTGTGTGAGCTGAGTGTGCTAGCGACCGAGCTACGAGACACCTTAAACCTAGGGCACAGAAGGATCCCCCGGTGGAAATACGTCACTTCGTCTAATTTTTTTTGGGGTCATCTTGAGTAATTTACATGTGAGTTACTATGCAGTAATCGAGAACGAGTGATAAAAAAATGAAAAAAAAAGGAACTTATTTTGCATGTCACTATGTATCTGGAGTTTATCTGGAGAGAGTTCCGGGGGTCAACGCCCCCGCGGCCCGGTCTGTGACCAGGCCTCCTTAGGTCAGTGTCCCAGGATGCGACCCACACCAGTCGACTAACACCCAGGTACCCATTTTACTGATGGGGAACATAGACAACAGGTGGAAAGAAACACGTCCAATGTTTCTACTCTGGCTGGGAATCGAACCCAGGCCCTCACCGTGTGAAGCGAGAGCGTTAACCACCAGGCCACCTAAATTTGTACTCGCCTATTTGTTGTTGCAGGGGTCGTGTCACAGCTCCTGGCTCCGCCTCTTAGCTGGTCGTTACTATGTCCACTCTCCCTGCTCCATGAGCTTTATCATATCTCTTTCTAAAGCTATGTATGGATTTTGCTTCCACTACGCCACTCCAGATTGTTCAACTTCCTGACAATTCTATGACTGAAGAAATAATTCTTAACATCCCTGTGACTCATCTGAGTTTTCAGGGAGTAGAACAACATAGATAACATCTCAGAGCTACATCTCAAATACTTCGTCCAGCTCCCCGGCAGTGAACTGCATGCCCAGAATGCTGCAGGCATTTTCCCTCTGGATCGCAACACTGAGTCTGAAAAAGGAAGCTGGATGCCTTGTGATCCTTGGTTTCTATGATGAGTTTTTCACCCAGCTCTTTGAGAAACTTTAGAGCACACTTGTCCCATGCTCCAAAGGTCTTTGACCCTACTGGGATGAAGTTATAGCAAGGGGGAAGGCCTTCATATATGTGGGTTTTCTGGGTCTTCCTGTAGCTGGCAATGCCACCCCCATCATCTTCGGAGTATGTAATGTGTCTGTAATGTGGCAACACAGGTGTAGTCCCAAGCAATCTGCTTACCATCCTTCCAGGGTAGCATAGTGGCTCCATCAGGACGCTTTTGACTCGGTCAAACCTCTGTACTTGGGGTTCCCGTTGAGCTGGGCAACGGGCTGTGGCGAGGCTTCTCTTAACGATGTTGTTGACCTCATGTCTTGCATACTTCCCTTCTGATGTGTGACAAACGAGACCATGAAGTCCGAACTAATCAGCCATTGCCTTGCCACAAATACACATATGTTCAGTGAATATGGGAGTGGCTAGAAAAGCAATACCAATCTGAATGGCCTGTAGGTCGAGTTGAGTGCCCAGAGAGGAAATGAGAACAGCTAGAAGGAAATCTGAATGTGGTGCCTTCTCCACTAGGAGACAAACTTTGTCCTTTCCTGAAGTGTGGGTGAATATTGTGTTGGCAATTTTTTCCATGATCACTTTGTCCCAGTGGGTCTGTTTGTGATTTTTGGAAGGAGCTGGTCTACTGGAGGAGTCAGCAAGGGTGACCTACTGCATGGCTGCTTCAGTGAACTTGGGGTTTTGAGCTCCTACCGCACCTCTCAAGCATTCGGGCTGGAAGCCAAACACGAAGACAGAAATGCAGATAAAGCTACTTGCGTTGCTTTGTGCACCCATATACCTCCCAGTCGCACTGGGAGGGTTGCCTGATCCCATTGCTGATCTTCCAGTGACAGATTCAGTGCCTTCTTAAAGATTGATCTCAGGAGTGAGTCATTCGTTGAATGTTGGGGTTTCAAGAGAGGGTGTGCACCTCAGGAAGTGAGTCTTGGCAGAGTAAGACACCTTGTGAGGAGATACAAGGCATTGTGGGCATTGAGATCTCTTATTTTCTCCTCCATTCTCTTCAGGTCATTCAGATTATCCTTGAGGACTGTGTCGATGGCCTGATTACCCAGCAGTGCTCCCAAGAGGGTGCTCTTGGCTGGAGTGGTAGTAGAGACTTCATGGAGGATTGTTTGCACAGCACTGATTATTTCCTTGTTCGTTGTGATGATTTCACACTTGGAGGGATTGGGGATGAGTCCCAAGGCTTCTCCCTGTGTTTTCACCAGTTGTAGGTCCTCTAGCAGGGACTCTTCAGTACCTGCCAGAGTGCCATAATCAAGGTACTAGATGTTGAGCTTGCTGAGCAGGCTGGAAGTTAGTTCTCTTACTGCCAAGCAGAAGAGAAGTGGAGCAAGTGGGTCACCCTGCTGAACACCCTCTGCAAAACGATTGTCCTCAAAGATTTGTTAAGTTATACCATGAATTAAGGAAAGATCCTAGACTTCACCTTACGAAAGCAGACAAAGCAAATGCGATAGTAATTATGGACAAGGTAAATTATAGGGGAAAAATAATATATTAGAAGACTGGGAAACTGACGTGCCCCTTAGCACCCTTACTTCAGAGAGCAGGCACTGTACTTCTCATCTCCAGGACTCAAGTCTGGCCTGCAGGTTTCCCTGAATCCCTTCATAAATGTTACCTTGCTCACACTCCAACAGCACGTCAAGTCCTAAAAACCATTTGTCTCCATTTGATCCTATTTTACATGCTCTTGCATGCTTGCTGGAAGTTCAAGTTCTTCGCACACAAAACCTCCTTTACCCCCTCCCTCCAACCTTACCTAGGCCGACCCCTACCCTGCCTTCCCTCCAATACAGCTTTATACACTCTCGAAGTCATTCTATTTCGTTCCAGCCTCTCTACATGTCCGAACCACCTCAATAAGAGGAGACAGCGAGAGAGAGAGGAGACAGAGCAAGAGAGAGAGGAGACAGAGCAAGAGAGAGAGGAGACAGAGCAAGAGAGAGAGGAGACAGAGCAAGAGAGAGAGGAGACAGAGCAAGAGAGAGAGGAGACAGAGCAAGAGAGAGAGGAGACAGAGCAAGAGAGAGAGGAGACAGCAAGAGAGAGAAGAGACAGAGCAAGAGAGAGAGAGAGAGCAAGAGAGAAGAGACAGAGCAAGAGAGAGGAGAGATAGAGCGAGAGAGAGGAGAGATAGAGTGAGAGAGAGAGAGAGAGAGAGAGAGAGAGAGAGAGAGAGAGAGAGAGAGAGAGAGAAGAGAGAGAGAGAGAGAGAGAGAGAGAGAGAGAGAGAGAGAGAGAGCAAGAGCAAGAGCAAGAAAGAGCGAGAGAGAGAAAGAGCAAGAGAGAAAGAGAGAGTGGAAGAGAGGGAGCATGTGTGTGCATAAAGCTTGAGCTGTCAGAGATGGGGAAATCTTAGGACGTTAATTTAGCATGTCACGGTGATGAAAATTTCTGAATTGTTTTAGTGTGTATCATCTGATGAACAGGACAATTGATCAAACAATGGATTATTATTACATTCATGGGAGAGAGGGGGGGGGGAAGCACTATTATTATTATTATTGCAGATGAATGGTTCAGAGAACTGACAAGTTGATA